CTGGAGGTGTGGAGCTCTGCCTCCTGAGCACCCCGGCACCGCCGCAGTCCTCTCGTTGTGCTCGGCACCTGCCTGGGCTGTCCCAGGGCTGCAGGAGGCAAGTCGTGCTCCCCCAGCAGAACTTGTGCCGGGTTATGTCAACGCTGGGGGTTGGGGAAAGCGGCCACAGGAGAAGATGGCCCCAGGTCTTCGTGGGAGTCGGTGCTCTGCCCCTGCTAACAGCTGGTTTCCATCCCCATCCTTGTTCCCAGGTATCCGGACTGAAACCCCAAAATGGGTAGTCCAGACCACTGAGCGGGCGAGTGGAAAAATGTGAAGCTCCATAATGCACAGCGATCCACTTCCAGCCTTTAATCATAATTATTATATGGCAGACCCAGCGACTTTTATTTTTGGCTCTGAGGTTTGTTTTCACCCTCCGGTGATTGCCAGCGCTGTGCTCTGCCCGTGGGGCCATCCCAGGGCAGGGATCTCGGTGGCTCCATCCCAATGTACCCCGTGTGACTGGGGGATGCAGAGGCAGCGCCTTCAGTCATGGGATAGGTATAAACAGGAGCCGACTGGGACACGTTCTCAGCAAATGCGTTATGTTTTCACTGGAGGCTTCTGGCTGGTTTCAGTAGTCATGTGCGTGAGCAAGGAGGTATCCTGGAAGAAGGTTCAGTCCAGCTGTTGCCAGGTATTGAAAGAGGGAATGGGTAGAAAACAAGCTAGAAGAAAAGAATAGCTTCAGGGAGTTTGATAGCTTAGGAAAAATTAATTTGTTTAAATTAAGAATCAAAAGGATAAATTAATCTGTAGTGAAGTGACAACAACAACCTTAATGGAGTGGGATCACGTAACTTAATGAGCATGCAGAGTCCTTTTTTGATGTACCAGCCTCACTATTGAAGCCAAAATTACATGAATACTGCAACAGCCAGTCCCAGTCATCTTCTTTTTCTAGGCTGTGCTGTCACCGCGCCTGTACTCTGTCACACGTTGGCACACCTTGCTCCCAGGGGCAATGTCAGGAGGGGCACCCCAGCGTGGTCTTCTGCGCTGCCAGAGCAAGGTTTGGCTTAGTCGTTGCTTGCCTCCTTCCTGATCAGCGCTTGGCTTGTCCCATCACTGAAATTTTGGGCTTTGCCATGAATGTTCTCCCAGGTGCCATCCGCTGTGCTCACCCATAGCTCGCTCTGACCTCATTTGCTGACCCGTCCCCTTGTTTTCTTTTTGTTTTACGCTGCAGGTTGGAGACTGGCCGTGAACACGTCTTGCCCATTGACTATTACTTTCCACCTCAGAAGACTTGCCTGATCTGTGGAGACGAAGCATCTGGGTGCCACTATGGAGCCCTCACTTGTGGTAGCTGCAAAGTCTTCTTCAAACGGGCGGCTGAAGGTAATGCATACAGAGAGAGGAGGGAAAATCACTCCCACCTCCAAGCATTGGCTTTCTCTACTGAAGCAGCCCGAGTCAAGTGCCGCGGAGACAAGTTCTCTCACTGGCAGTCAAGTCATTAACATATAAGTGCTGGAGTCATTTGCAGCATCATGGTGTTTTCCTCCTGTTGAACAAGCTCTGGGGAGCCTGCCAAGCCAAGGGGACTGAGGCAAGAGTGGTGGGGACAACGTGTGGTGGGTTACTAACATTGTCCTATGTTTATCATTCCACATTAAGTGGAATGATAAGTAGCCCAACCGGGTTGCCAAAGCACAATCCTTTTCAATGCCCGATTATCTTAGTGACCTAGTGAGACCCCAGAGCAGTCAGTTCCTGCTTCTCCTCTTGACTCTGAAGGGTGCTTTGAATTCCCATCAGCTCTCCTGTGATCTCAGACCCAGTCCAAATTTAGGGGATGCTTTTCCCCTCTTGTACCCCTTTCAGAGGGTCACTTCTCCCAGTACCTGCAATCTGGCAGAACCACCTGTCCATCAAGAGCTGTGCTCTGACCTTGGTGTCCATGATCCTTCTCCCCAACCCTTGAGAACACAACTTCTCCTTCATGTCCAGCTCTGTAGTGCCAGGCTCTCCAGAGGTAAGTGTGAGCCCCGATGTTCCCTCTCAACAGCAAGGTCTTTCCACCATCTTTCCTTGGAAATCAGTTTGTAGAAGGATCTAGCCCAGCTGTTTCCTTGGGCTGTGGGTCAGCAACGTCTGTTTTCTAACTGCAGTTAGGAGTCACGATTCCTTGGCAGCAGATGAGAGTCCCTGTTGTGGAAGCCTGTCTGGTAATGTAATGTGCCTGTAAATCACACATCCGACTTGTTTTCTGGAGTGGCTGAACCAATACAAATCATCATTCTTCCTTGGTGCTAACATAAGTTACTCGGTGCACCAGCACGCCGTTGGCAGCCGTGGCACCCCTGGGAGAGGGAGGCACCGCGTTCCCAGCCGGTGGCCGGTGGTGGGGATGGAGGCTTCTGCCTCCGGCTTGTCTCGCCCTGACCTCCCCTCCCGTGCCTCACGTCATCCCGCTGTCGAGCGGAGGTCCCAAACTGACGGGTGCTCACATGCCGTTGTCAGAGCACTGATTCTTGATTATTTCTAGCATTATGCTGCGTGTTTTCGGAGTCACATTTTCCCTCGTTCATCACACGTGCCAGGAGTGAACTTGCCAGCACTGGGTCAGGGAGGAATCGGGGCTGTGCCATAGAGGACAACAGCATCCTGTTGCCATAATAGGACAGTCAAATAATATGAATAGATAATGTTTGGCATATTTTTCCAAGTAAATAATTTACAGACATGTCTCTTTGCTATACACCAATTCTGTGTAAGGCCAAATGGATTGGCTTGTGCAGCCAGAGTAAATAACAGATGCTTGTTTAAGTCACCAAGTTATTGTTGATTTATAGTTAGTGGAGTCTTGGCTCTCTCTGTCAGATAAACTGCTGATGAAATGCCCCGTGTCAGCTGGCGAGTCCTGGAGCGGCGATCCACAGCAGGGTGGGCTCCGTCCTGCGTGGCGTGCGGATGGGGGCCGTGGGGTGTCTGCGGGGGGAGAGGAGGCAGCCTGGGCTGCTTGCACTGCTCTTCGTCATACGCTGTGGTGGTGCTCCCTCTCCTCATTCTGTTATATCATTAATTTAAAGGGTGTTTATGCCTCTTCTTAGTTTTTAAGCCTTGAGGTATCGCAGAGGGTTACAAGTGTTGGGTTGCGTTAGGATCGGGCGGCAGCAGCCCTTTACCTTTCCCCTGGATGAGACCGTGGAGCAAAGTGCGTCTACGGTGAGGAGCAGCAGCGGCGGGGGGGGACCTGCCCGAGTGTGAGGTTTCATCTTATGTTACCCTGAGGTACATGGATAGAGTTTTTATTTCGGGGAAGGGACAATAAATCAGACTCCTTTGAATGCGGGGTAGCGGTAGGTGATGATTTCTACCCTAACTCTTAGTGATTTTCCAGCCGGACCGTTCCTTCTTAAAGTTGAGGAGCAATATTGAAAGCTGATATTTCAGTGTGTTCTCATGTTTTAAAGTCCATAAAATGCACCTCTGAAAACCTTAGGTCACCTTTGGACGCTCTTTACAATGGCAGATCAGAAAGCTTCTCTGATGGGAAAAGAAAACTTTTCTTCTGCCGCTGTGACCTTCCTGTCGCTGGTGCAAACCGTCGGGCTCCGAGGGGCAGGAGAGGCAGTGGGCTGGGAACGGAGGAGAGCACAAACAGGTCGCCTCGGAGGGAATGGAGAGCAGCTAGACACGTAGTTTTTCTTTTATCATATTCTTTGCCTAATACAATACTGAACTTATTTGACAGTAATGCAGATATTTAAGAAAGTTTTATAGACATACACTGGCTTCTAAGGGATTAGAAAGGGAAAAGATATTTTGAAAAAGAAAAATTATGACACTGATTCCTCTTCCCTTTGGAAACATGCTGAGGGATTCGTGTGGTTTCCAGTACAGCAGATCGCTCCTGCTTTGATAAAACGTTTGACAATTTGGGGGGTTTTTTCAAGCTTGTGTCCAACTGGTTCTTCCAGAAAGATGCTGGAAGAGTTAACAGAGAAGGCATGAATATTTTCCTGATCTCTTTCTGTCAACTCTCTTGATTTATAGATCCTCTCAAGATGTCCAGGTTATATATAGGCAAGCTCTAAAACACGCCCTGCAGATTCTTCAGCTCTGATGTGGACTTCCTCACTTGCACGATGGCCAGCCTCACTTTTGTAATCAAACCTGGCGTTTGCTTCTCCCTTTCTGTCACCCCGCTCTGGGGTCCCAGCGCTGAGGGATCCGGGGGGTGGGGGCTCGCTGCCCCGGCGAGAAGCACTGCCCCTCTTCTGCTGCCAGACGTGCTCGCAGCCTGCCAGTGAGGACTCCTCCTCCTAATTCCTCTTCCTCCTACAGCAGCAAAGGTTTAGTAAACAAAAAGTGCACCCACCTCAGCACAGATTTTGTGTTTACTCGACACACGTAGGCAGGGCATCACTTCGCGTGGTTTGGATGGCCCAGATGAGTTACAGACTGGAGGGTTTGGTCCTCGTGATACCACACTTGTCCCTGAAACAGAAAAATGTGTCCAACACAACACACTTCCACATCGACTGGCAGTCCAGGGGTTCCTGTTGTACCATCCCATCCAGGAAGGGAGTCATTTTTGTGTCCCCTGCATCCATCCCTGAAAAACCGTAGACCTTCCTCGCCCCTTGCTTGAGGTCTGATGGCCACTTTGGCCAGTTGAGAGCTGCCTCTGAGCAGCGTTGCTGGCAGTGCAGGACTGGGACACCTTCGGCTGTATTCCTGGTGGGACTGCCTTTAAATAGCGGAGAGCTAAATGAAAAAAATAACACAGTATTTGGCAAATTTCCTAGAGGGCTAACAGCCAGACTGCTGTGCAGTCTGTTCTGATTCTCTTTCAGTCATTCTCCATATGGATTGTTGTTCCACATCCTGGCCTGCTGAGGATTAGCCTTGCACCAGAGAAATGTCTCTGGGCCAGCTCAGCAGTTCCTTGCCAGTTTTCAAGATGGCAGCAAGTTAAGGTGAACCATTTTCAAAGACCATCACCATGTTTTAAAACGCTTTCTTCCCCTTCTCGAGGCTGATCCGACGGTAGGCAAAAGAGTCACGTCTGCAAAAGCCTCCCGTGGTGCTGCAGCACCGTGATGCCTCTGCTTCAGTGGTGGGTTTCTCACCACCCGTTGGGTATCATTGGCCTTAAAAATCTGTGGGAAGAGCAGAAGGTGGAACAACCAGACCTTTGAAAGCTCAGGCCCTCCTGGCACAGCCTGCTGCCTGTCTCCCGTGCTGCCTGCCAGGTGGGATTGCTTTTCCCTGCCCGTGGTGTCCGCAGACCAGCTCCCCCCAGCCCGACACAGTGATGCTTCTCCATGGGTGACCTGGTACGTCAGCACCCGCTCCGCTGGGTGCCCTGAGGGGTGCCAGCTCTGTGCTGTGCTGCTAACTGGCAGCTGCTCGCTGCTTCAGCCCGTGCTCGAGCCGGCCATCAGTCAGTGAAGAGTCAGATGTGACATTGGTTGGAGGCCGAAGCAGACAGTTTGACTTCCAACAGACTCAGGAGTTAAAACATTATGGTTTGTCTTGTTGCCAGAGAGCTGAGCAATTAAAACATTTTTGCTTGCTGGATGTGAGCATCTTTAAAATAAAGCCGTTTCAATTTGGACAGTCCCAGAGCTGTTTACTTTTAAAGCTCATCGTTTAGCCTTGGCTTGCTCCAGGCTTCTTGCTAGGTTGTCTTCTGTACGGAGCTGTTATCTGCCCGTGCTGTTAGTTCGCCAGCGTCCGTAACCTCCATGCGTGCGTTTCTCTGGCTAGCTATCGTTTTCCCTTGCAGACCATGGTTGCGGGCTCCCTGGAGAGCTTCCCCCTTGCTCTTCCCGCAGAGCCAGCCCGAGTCGCTGCCCCAGAAAGACCTGGAGCCGGTGCTGGAGCCTGCACTGCGCCCGAGGCCAGACGCTTTCCTTTTGTTTTCGTTAGTCTTCTCATAAATGCAGGTGACTGTTAAGAAAACGACTTTGCAAAGGTGGTTCATTAATGGTGGCTTAGTTGTTTTGACAGCAGAGCACTGGAGACCCTGCGGTTACGTGAGACCCTGGGGGATTCGCTTTCTCAGAAAGCTTGGCCTTATCCCCCAAGGGTTAGAATTTGGCTTGTGCCCTGAAATATGAGGATATGTCTCTCATCCAAAAGGCATTTAATGCCTTTTCACATTCACAATCGTAAATCTTACTCCAGGCATTTGTATAGATTACTTTGCTTTCTGGAAGAGAAAGCTACGCTAGGTGCAACAATTCATGTGGCAACAGGCTTTTTGTTAAATAACTTCTCTGGATTGAGCAACTGATCTTTCTCCGTAAGTCTTTATTTTTAGTCCAGACTGGAGAACTGCTCTTCTCTGCTCCTCATGTTCACTGCAGTCCCAGGTGATGAGCAGGACTCGGGGGTGGCAGAAGCATCTTGCTGCCTGGTGTGGGGTGGCACTGGGGGGGAGCCGGGGCCGTCGGGGGGGGGGCCCAGCGC